ATGTTCTGGATGTTTCTCTGCTCCTGCTCGTCTCCGACGTTCTGCAGGATGATAAACCGAAGGCACTCCATTGTGGAAAAAATGATGGCCGCACTCTCTGAGGGACTGGACTTAGCACGATCACTCGACAACCTGGACCAAACATGCCAGAATAAAGGAAAACAAATTAAAAAGTGCAAAAATACACAACCAGTCAAAAGTTTGGAATAATTATGATTTTATTTTAATGTTTTTAAAGAAGTTGCCTCTTATGCTCACCAAGGCTACATGTATTTTATCAAAAATACAGTAAAACTGTATTATTCCAATTTACAATAACCATTTTCTATATTAATACATTTTAAAATGTAATAATATTTTTTACAATATTACTGTTTTACTGTATTTTTGATCAAATACGTGCAGCCTTGTTGAGAATAAGAGACTTCTTTCAAAAACATGAAAAAAATCTAAAATAATTTTAAAAAATCATTCAAAATCATTCAAACATTTGACTGGTAGTCAAACCCATGTATTTTGAATTAATATGCAGTGTCAATACATTATATGCAAACAACATTTTGAATTCATAAAACTGCCTGTTTAATTCTAAGGGTCATGGGAGGATGTAAAATGGTTATGTAAATCTAAATTATTACATCTGGGGTAAGAAATTTTATAAGTGCACTTATTATAAGAAGGAACATTTAGTACAATTTATTTTAAAATATATTATATTATGATTGATGGGGGAAAAAATCATATTTAGTACATTAGTATATAGTAGGGGTGGGGGGAAAAATCAATTCACCTAACTATCGCGATTCTTTTTAATACGATTTAAAAATCGATTGGTTTATCTCAGAATCGATTTATATTTTATTATTTTATTTTTCCTAAGAGGTGGTGGGGAGAAGTTAGCGCTTTTATGGATAAAAATAAATCCTAAATGAAGCAAATATTAACTACATTTTTTAAAAATACTTTTTTTTTCATGAGGCAGACGATTTCGTGTGTGTGTGTGTTCGTTCGTTTGCCTGATCGCGAAGTTGCAGTGACAGAAACGGTGACATTCCAGATAAAAGTTTGAAAGGAGTAAAGCCTGTGTTAATGCTATTGAGTAGGCGAGGTTTTGTTCCGTCCTCCACGCTGTGACAACTCACAAAAGACTATTTTTAGCCAAGCAGTGCGGAGAGCCGCTTCAGAAACGTGCCGCGGCTGGCCGGTATAAACACGGTTCCCGTGGATGTGTTTTCCTTCGTATATAATTATTATTATTATTGATGGAAAAAAAATTAAATTACTAGAAGTAATATCGCAAATTTAAAAAGGCAATTCTGCTGCAGGTACATGACTATAGGATGAATGACTATATGAATAGGACATTATTTACCCCTGTATGACAGATGTGAGGAATGTCCTAGAGAACTCCAGGTTGGGCTGTGTGACCTCTGCTGGCAGTTTGCTTATAAACGGGAGCATGTTTGGATGCAGAGATGTTGCAAGACCTCGACCTCCTTCTTTAAGAAGCACCCAGAGCTTAGGCATCACGCCTTTCCTGGCACTGACATGCGTCCAGCAGTTCTGCACATAATTTATATGATGACAGTGATTTTGAATCACCGCTGACAACAGACAACAATAAGGTGCAATAACATTTCTATTAGATTGCATAAGATTAACACTTTAATTTTGGAATGAATACGGGTTATGGCAGAACTGGAAAATGTGAGATTTTTGTTGTTTATTATTTTAAATAAATATTTATATAAATATTAATTTACACTACTATTTAAGTTTGGGGTTAGTAAGATTTTTAATGTTTTCAAAAGAATAGATTTTTAATGTTTTCAAAAGAATAAAAAAAAAAATAATTTACTGAACCCAAACTATTAAAAGGTAATGTATTTTTTATTATATCTGTGTCAAAAAATAATCAGTCTCACATCAACGCAGGACAGAATATGGAGGACCGCCTCCCACAGAGGGGGTAGCACCACTGGGTCTGTGTCGTCGATTGACAGCAGCACAGCAGAACAAGCTCGGGGCGCTTCTGCCTGGATCAGCTGGGGTGTGTGCGCACACATGGTGACAATCAGCTCAAAAAACGCCCCTCGAATCTAGAAAATAAAACAGACAACTCTGAATCATATTATAACACCTAATAATCAAGAAAACATCTAACAAATAGTACAAAGAGATTTTAATGTAGGTGTAAAGTATCATAAATAAAAACCAGAAAAGTTGCTTGTCATGGTCATGTCTGGTTAGGATCCCAGCTCACCTGTGGGGTCTTGTGTTTGCTGTACTTCCAGAATTTGCCCTGTGTGATGAGTTGTGTCACTCGCTCCTTTAGAAGCTCTCTGTCCTGCTCAGGTAAAATGCTCAGCAGTCTCTTCAGAGCCAGCAAAGAGCTGGTCAACAGACGGATAAACTTAGCCTCTCGTTCCTCCTCTGGCACACTGCTGCACAAAAATAAAACAAAATAAATAAAATTAAATGTATTCTACACATAAACTACTACTATTATTAATCAGGCACACACTGCATTTTTCTTAAAATATAACAATATGACCAAGTAAAGCAAAACTAATGTCACCATCAGGTTATTATTGTACATATACACTTACTGAGGGTCACTGAGAGTGTCAGCTGTTTCTTTCAGCAAATTGTCTTGGAGAACCTGAGAATCACAAAGAATTTTTTATTTTTTTTTTAATTAAAAAACTTCAGCTGATCAATGACAACATGCATCAAAATTTCTGCAGTATGTCATTTTTTCTCACTATGAGCATAAGATAAGCTTATCTTACATTCAGGACTTCATCTTTACAGAAGCTGATGGCCTCTGGCTGTTTATTCAGGGGAAATGCGGCCTGGAAAGCAGCGCTGGCAGCCGAGGCAGCAGGAGAGTATGTGTCACACTGAGAGATGAGCCAGTGACCCATGATGCTCTTCAGGTAGGGGGCCAGATTCCTCTTCACTTTTAAAACCAGCTGCTCAAAGGCCTGCTGTGTGGCCTCTCGCACACGGCGATCATGGTCCTGATGAAAACATTATATATTAAATAAACTTGTTCAGCCAACATTTTATTTACACAGATACACAAGTAAATTAAGCACATTCAAATTCAACTAAATTAAACATTTACATCTTCTTGCTGCCTCTATATAAAGTGGGGTCCAAATATCTGAGACCACTAGAGAAAACTCAGTTTTGCATGTTTCTAATTTAACACAAAATCTTTCATTTCAAATTCTTTAATCAATATTACAATTTGAATAAAATGTTATACTGAAAAATATTCATTAACACAAATATAAAAATTAAATACAATTATATAAAAGATAAAATTATAAATATATAAATAAAACTGTAAATAAATAATATACAAATAATTATAGGGTTATCATTCTTCTCTTACCATTGATATTCGGCAGTATATCCGAGGCCAGTATGGGAGGACACCTTTTACAACATCAGGTTGTCGCTCTTGACACATTGCTCCAAACTCTTGTACTGCCTGAAATACACATCCACCAGTTTTTATGTGCCATTCAATTACGGAGTCAGTCAAATTAAATGTTTTATAGAAATTTATGTAAGACCTTCGTTCATCTTCGGAACACAAATTAAGATATTTTTGGTGAAATCTGAGAGCTTTCTGACCCTGCATATACAGAAAGGGAACTACCACGTTTAAGGCACAGAAACATCAGTGGTTCAACATTAATTTTATGAAAATACGAGAATACCATGCTGCATGCGTGTGCATTCGTCTGCTTGTAAACAAGGCACAGCGCATGCGTGTTCTACGTCAGCAGCACCACACGTATGTGTCGTGGTACTCTCGTGAATGGTGGCGGACAGTGGGAAGAGAAGAATTGCTGAATAAAGTTGTTGTTTGTTTTTTTCTTTGGGCACAAAAAGTATTCTTGTAGCTTCAAAAAATTACAGTTGAACCACTGATGTCACATGGACTACTTTAAAGATGTCCTTACTACGTTTCTGTGCCTTGAACGTGGTAGTTGCGTTGCTGTCTATGCAGGGTCAGAAAGCTCTCGGATTTCATCAGAAATATCTTCATTTGTGTTCCAAAGATGAACGAAGGTTTACAGGTTTGGAATGGCATGAGGGTGAGTAATTAATGAGAGAATTTTCATTTTTGGGTGAACTAACCCTTTAAGAAAATATGTGTGGAGATCAAGAATGACCGTGATAGTGCTTAGTGATCCACATTTTTTAAATTTTACTCATCCCTTTTCAAACATTTGCACACTAGGCAACACTGAACTCCAATCAATCACTACAAATGATACCTTCAATTTTGTGACTGCATCTCTCTTGGACAGCTTTCGTAGAACCATGCGGAAGTCTGCATCAACCTGATTGTCTATCTCCTCTGCCCCCTGTACTGCAGGTACATATCCTGGATCACTGGAGGTGGAGACACCGAATCCCACAAACCCGGGTACAACGCCACCTTCCCTGGCCAACAGATCAGCAGCTCTGCCACTGCTGGATGGCTGAAAGGCAGAACACACAGGGCTGTCATTACACATTCATCGCCATTTCATACCTAGATGATTATATGCCTATGGTATATCACCATCATATACGGTTGCTCAACTAATGCACTTTCTGTCTGATTACACTACAAACACGTGACGTCAGGACTCTAAGAACACAGGTTTACATAACAGACACGATTTAAAAAAACGCTTGTCATATATCATGTTTCATAAACACTTTACAATACAAAACAATAAGTGACAGGAAGTACATAATAGCACTTTGTTGTAATGAGCTATCCATGTGAGCTGTCATGCTGTTTACATAGTTTACAACACTGACCAGTTAGAGTCAACTACAATGACTCTTGCTATTATTTCACCGATTTGGCTTGTAGCTGGAAAATGTTAACAATCGAATAACTTTCATTCGTCTTACCCGAACATTTCCTTTCGTTCTCTGTTTATTTTTGCCACCCATTGTTTTGTCGACTGAGCGTCTGCGTCTTTTCCGACTTGAGTAGTCACACTAGGCGCGCGGTTATGATGTCACGCTCACGCGTTTTGCGTGCGTCCAAAATACTTTACGTTGCACGCGTGGAGTGTGCTGTGATCAATAACGACAGGTATCTCGGTTTTACTATGTGGACATTCTCTTATTCTGTATAACTTACATATGGAATTCTTGTTTATTCCCTGAATTTATAAAATCTTACTGTTGTTTAATGATTTTACTTTTACTGATATTTAATTTAAAAAAATAGCTTGTTCTATACTTCCGTGCCTCACGTGCTGATAGTGTATACTCCAGTGTGTTTCTCTTTTAAAGGGAAGGATGAGCGTGGACGTGGAGCGTGTGTTGATCCAGCTCCAGGATGAGACCGGAGAGGTGCTCGGATCCCCCTTCGATGTGCCGCTGGACATCAGTCCGGATAAACTGCAGCTGGTCTGCAACGCACTGTTACAGAAGGTAGGAATGATGGACTGCAGTATGTGTTTCATCCAGCTGTGAGAGCCCATGATGTATTGGACTATAGTACCTATGATCTATTCTGTTAAAACCCTTTTAATATATTTTTATGATAGGTCTGAAATACTGTGTTAGAGATATACCGTATAAAATTTGCTCACCAAGCCTTCGTTTATTTGATAATACAGTAAAACAGTGATATTGTGAAATGTTATTACAATTTTAGAAATACCTGTTTTGTATTTGAATATATTTTAAAATGTAATTTATTCCCGTGATACAAAGCTGAATTTTCAGCATCATTACTCCAGTCTTCAGAGTCACATGATCCTTCAGAAATCATTCTAATATGCTGATTTGCTGCTCAAGAAACATTTCTTGTTATTATCAATGTTGGAAACAGTTTTGATAAAATTTTTCAGGACTTTCAGATAGCATTTATCTGAATTCGGAATCTTTTGCAACATTATAAATGTCTTTACTGTCAGTTTTGATCTGTAATGCACCTGTACTGAATAAAAGTATTACATTGTTTAAAACAAACCCCAAACGGTAATGTATACTTAGTTTATTGCGATCTTTAAAGTATAAAATCACTTATATATCCTCATGTGTTATAAAGTATATGTTCATTTAGAATATATATTTGGGTAGTTGACATGACAAGACAGCAGTGATATACTATATCTAAAACTATTTTTTAAAAATTCTAATTATGTGTAGTTGAGTAATACTTTTAATTATGTTTTATTACATATTGTTTAAAACATTTTGTTTTAATATATTAATTGGTTACTTGGAATATAGTTTCTTAGAACTATTTGAGTGAAATGAAATGATGACCAACACATAATATACAATGAACCATTTTTTCACATTTTTCCGCATTTCCACACTTCAACCTATAGTCTAGATGTTGAAAAAATCTGATGTCCTAGTTATTTGTCAATTACCCATTACATCAGCAAGCCTTGTTCAATAACATGTATACTGCACATAAGCTTTGCTTAAAGAATTTTTACATTACTTTGGATAAGTTAAGGCTGGTTATGAATGATGCCGGTTATGATTTACTGCAGATTTTATTGTTTCATAACCCCAATCTTTTGTCTTTCTACAGGAGGAACCTGTGCCGTACCTGTTCTTTGTGAAAGATGCAGAGGTGGTGTCGTCCCTGGGCTCCTGTGTTCAGGAGTTGGGCCTGGAGACTGAGCAGGTGCTGCCGGTTGTGTACCAGCCGCAGGCTGTGTTTCGTGTTCGGGCCGTGGCTCGATGCACCAGCTCTTTGGAGGGCCACACAGAGGCCGTCATCTCGGTGGCTTTTAGCCCTACAGGAAAGTAAGCGGATTAAACAGTAGCTTTACATTTATATTAAGACAGATAAATGTCTAACATATCAGACTGCATGCATCAAAATAAAGCTTTTTTTTTATTATTTGGGGATGCTACTCAGATATCTGGCCAGTGGATCTGGGGACACGACAGTGAGGTTCTGGGATCTGAGCACAGAAACACCACACCACACTGCTAGGGGTCAGTTTTTCGCTCGATGTTATGAAATGCAGTGCATCTGTAAGTTAAACCAAGCATCTGACATTTTGTCCCACATGTTTTATAAGGACACACGCATTGGGTTTTGTCCATTGCCTGGTCTCCAGATGGCAAGAAATTAGCATCAGGGTGCAAAAACAGTCAGGTGATTATAATCATGTTATTATAAGTCACTGATATTCCAGTGAACAAGATGTTCTTTAGGTCTAATATATTGATTTATATCTGCTGTGATCTTTGCAGATCTTCTTGTGGGATCCGATCACAGGAAGTCAGATCGGAAAGACCTTGACGGGACATACGAAATGGATCACCTGGCTGTGCTGGGAACCTCTCCACCTGTGAGTTTTGAAAAATCAATTTGCCCTTGTAATCAAAGTATGTTTTATATCGGTTTATTTACTGAGTCACATCACCGAGGATGCGTCCCAGTGCATTCATGAGATGTTTCTTGTATAGTTAATGTCTGGCTCAGCCAGTGACTCCTAGAAATAGACTAGGTGACAACCAAGAATAGTTTGGTCGACTACTGGAGAGACAGTTGACGGCACGGAAAGACGGCACCTGGGACAGTATGGGTTAGCAACCCAGCCTGTGTCTTTCGTGAGAGAGAACCCAAACAAGCTACGGAAAGCCCTAGGGCTTGATCAACCCCGGCTGGGTCGCCTGGGCGAGGGTGTATGATGTTGCGAGACCCTAAACACCCAATGACCCCAGGGTACATCACTGAGGATGCGTCCCAGTGCATTCATGAGATGTTTCTTGTATAGTACATGTGTTCATTTTGTTATTTTAGCTCTACAGGGAATTTGTGATCAAATTTATTTGAAATTAAAATAATTTAACTTATTTGGGGGTTTTGTGTTTAATTTTTCTATAATTATTATAATAATTAATAATATTGTATTGTTTATTATTTAACAATTGTTTAATTTGATAACACAATAAAATCAATAAGGTCCCATTAGTTATTGTTAGTTAATGCATTAACTAAAATTAACTAACAACAAGCAGTTCATTTATTACAGTATTTATTAATCTTTGGTAATGTTAATAAAAATACAGCTGTTCATTGTTGGTTCATATTAGCTCAGGTCCATTAAATAACTGATTAATAAATGCTTTAGAATTATTTTTCATTGTTAGTTCATGTTAATTAATGTTGAAAAATGGAACCTTATTGAAAAGTGTTACCTTTAATTAATTTATAATTCTAAAAAATGTATAATGAAGTAACAAAATATCATGATCAGTTATCAGTCATTTTCACTCCATCACAGGAACCCAGAGTGTCGATATTTGGCTAGCACCAGTAAAGACTGTTCGATTCGGATCTGGGATACGGTTTTGGGCCGCTGTGATAAGATCCTGACCAGCCACACACAGTCTGTGACGTGTGTAAAATGGGGAGGTGATGGTCTCCTGTACACTTCATCTCTGGACAGAACCGTTAAAGTCTGGAGAGCCAAAGATGTACGTTGTTTCCACTCATGATGGATCAAAGATAACTTGAAACAATATTTACTTGGGTGTTTGACAGAATTATGGTGTGAATATCTGTTCTCGTCTGTGCCGTAGGGGGTTCAGTGTCGTACATTGCAAGGTCACGCTCACTGGGTCAACACGCTGGCCCTCAGCACCGACTACGTTCTGCGTACAGGAGCGTTTGAGCCGGCTACTGCAACCATAAACCCACAGGATCTCACTGGATCATGTATGTGTCAAATTAATAATTATTATACACTACTCTTCAAAGATTTGTGGTCGCAAAGGCTGCATTTATTTGATCAAAAATACAGTTAAAACAGTAATATTGTGAAACATTAAAATTTTAAAATAATGTTTTTTTATTTTCATATATTTCACAATTTAACTCATTCCTGTGATGCAAAGCTGAATTTTCAGCAGCCATTACTACAGTCTTCAGTGTCATTCTAATATGCTCAAGAAACTTTCCTTATCATTATCAATGTTTAAAACTATGGAAGCTTGTTTTCGCCCACGGGATAAAAGAGGTAGATAAAAAAAGATAAAAGATTAAAAAAAGGTAATTGACTATCTCACGTTATCTCTTTTTTTTTTTATTATTCCATGGCAGAAATAAAAAAACTGAATTGCGAGATGTAAACTCAGATTTGCATGGAAAAAAGCCTGAATTCTGAGTTTATGTCTTGCAATTCTGACTGCAATTACCTTTTTTATTTTTTTAATCCTGTGGCGTGAACAAGCTTTCATAGAAAACAGTTGTGCTGCTCAGTAGTTTTGTGGAAACCATAATATTTTTTTCAGGATTCTTTGATTAATAGAAAGTTCAAAGAACAGCATTTAATTGACATAGAAATCTTTTGTAACATTATAAATGTATTTACTCTCTCTTTTGATCAGTTGTATGCATCCTTGCTGAATAAGTATTAAAGGGGTCATATGATGCTGCTAAAAAGAACATTATTTTGTGTATTTGGTGTAATGAAATGTGTTTATGCGGTTTAAAGTAAAAAAAACACATTTCATTACACCAAATACATTTGTGTGAACATTTGGGCGGTGTTATGCAAATCTTCCCACATAGTGAGGTAGATATGTGGGGGCGTGTTCGAACGAGCCGTTTTAGGGGGGTGTGGCTGACTCTTAACTTTTATAAAGAATATCTCTTTGGATTTGAGACTTTAGTCTTTGCAAATTTACAGATCTTCTTTATGCACCAAGAGCTTGTAACACTCCAAAAAGAAAGAAAAAAATGAAATCGCATCATATGACCCCTTTAATATCTTTCAAATAAAAGAAACTGACCCCAAACCTTTGAACTGTAGTAGATGTAATATGGATCATTTAATAATAAATGTAACTGTTTCTGCTTTCCGCAGTGGAAGAGATCAAGGAAAAGGCTTTGAAGCGCTACAACAGTGTCAGAGTGAGTGAGACCAGTCTATATACAGTACCAACCTGCGAGAGAAGGGATTTATGTATAAACCTGAGCATTTGGTCTTCTTAAGGGTGAAGGTCATGAGAGACTGGTGTCAGGATCAGATGATTTCACAATGTTCTTATGGAACCCAGCAGAGGAGAAGAAGCCAGTGGCCCGTTTGACGGGTCACCAAGCGCTGGTCAATGAGGTGCTATTCTCACCGGACACACGGCTGATTGCCAGCGCTTCCTTCGATAAGTCTATAAAGATCTGGGACGGAAAGACGGGAAAGTAAGTAGGGTGGTCATAGATCCTTGATTGATTTGACCATGTGCAGATTAGCATACTGACATATTTCTAAAATATATCTGCAGTGCTATATTTCAATATTAATATTAGTATACAGCATGTAAAGTGTGTGCATAGTATACAGATGTTCTATATGCAATGAATGCCCAGATTCAGTTCAGTTCAATAACAGTGACTTTTAGTCATTACACCAACATTAGTGTTAGTATTTAGTATTAAGTATTATTATAATTATTTAGTTTTTTTTACTTTCATTTAATTTTTTTAAGTTTAATTTGATGTGCTTTATTCATTTTATTAGTTTTTATTAATAATTCTATATACCTTAAATTAATAATTTAATTAGTATGTAATAATTATTTTCGTTTTAGAAATGTAGTACTTCATCTTAAAATGAGAAATGTTGCCTTGACAACTAAGAAAAATAAGTTTCTCATCTAAAATTTATGTTTTTGTTTTTATATCAGCTTTATATCAGATGTTGCAAAATTCGGCAGTTATGAAAAAAAAATTTGATAAATCTGTAAAAAAAAAAAACTTCCAGTAGTGTACACTAGAGGGCAATATCACATCACATCAGCACTGGCGTATTTTGCTTGCCTGCACATGGCAACAACCCAGAGAGTTTCTTGAAATATAACATCAAACACGTCAATGTTTTCTCTGGCCTCATGAAAGTGTTTTTAAAGGGCTGTAAGATCTTTATGTTTTTCCAGGTACCTGACCTCACTTCGCGGTCATGTGGGGCCAGTGTACCAAGTGGCGTGGTCTGCAGACAGCCGTCTGTTGGTCAGTGGCAGTAGTGACAGCACTCTGAAGGTGTGGGACATCAAGAAGGGCAAACTGAACGCAGATCTGCCTGGACACGCTGATGAGGTGAGACACTGAATGGATTTAGTTCAGAGGTTGGAGTCTTGCACGAGGCCCAGAGCTTTAGAATAACTTACATCAGTTATTTTAGTAGCATTTATATATTATAATAATATTTACTATTTATAAGATTTATTTTTGTAATATTTAAAAAATTAAGTTTTTGTCATTATTTATTTATTTCTATATAGCTGTATTTTTATTTTAGTTTTAGGAATTGTAGTACATAAACTTAAATGTATTTACTTCAGATTGTTGCCAAGGCAGCATTTCTACTTTTCACATTTTTTTTTCATCTACAATTAATATTTCATATCAGCTTTATTTCAATTTCATTTTAAGTTTATATTTTTATATATCTTTAATTTATATTTTAGTTTTAGGAATTTTAGTACTTCAACTTTATATATTTCATTTAGTTGCCTAGGCAACATTTCTAATTTTTGTTTTGAAAAAAAATCAATTTAAAATGTATATTATATTGGCTTTAATTTCTATTTCAGTTTAAGTTTTAATATTTTTGTTTTGGTTTATAACATTTAGTTTTTTTTATTATTATTTCTATATAGGTTTAATTTTAGTAGCTTATCTTAAACATTTATTGTGGTTAGTTGCTATGGTAACACTTTTAAAATGATTTTTTTTTTTACAGTTCTAGTGAACAGTAACAACACTGACCTACATATATTCTAAAATTAAAATTCTTTTTTTTTTTTATTAAACATTAGGATTATCGTGGTCATTTAAAACCTGAACATACCAGGGAATGTTAACATTGTGATTTACACCAAAGTGGGGGGAAACATCTTAAAAATGCATGGGGAAAAAAAAATAAAAAATTATATATATATATATATATATATATACACACACAAAATGAGACTACATTTTTGCATATTTTGTATATTTTACATTTTTTAACCATATCTTTTTCAAATCTGGAGATGACTTTTGACCGGCCACTAAGCAATCACCTAGCAACCACAAACTAAAAACACTCCAAATACATTAGCAACAGCATAGCAGTGGTTTTTTGCATGGACATACACCACTAAATTAGTTTTCTTCCATTGCTCAGATTTTTGCAGTTGACTGGAGTCCCGACGGACAGAGAGTGGCCAGCGGTGGAAAAGACAAGTGTTTAAGAATGTAAGTGACCCTACATTATTTATTTCCACACACACACAATGCCACCTGGTAGGAACACCTGGCATGTCTTATCTTCTTTTCCCCTTTAGATGGAGGAAGTAACCCGGAGAGACCAGCGACCCCTGGCTCTGCACACAACAGCCAATCAGGCGTCTCGAAGCATCACCCCACAGGATGGTGGACAGCAGTGTCGGAGCATTAAGCCTTAGCCTATTTGTCCAACGAAACCGCTTCGACAGCATCACAATAGCTGACATATAATGCTCTCTGATGTTGTCGGGCCAGATAGCAGGAAGATAAAACGCAGCCTTTTTTTTTAATTTTTTTTTTGCCTGATCCCCCACTCAAATGAGCAATTGCCCTGTGGAAGTGCAGGTGAACTGACCCAGTCTAATCTGTGTAATCTTTCTCACACACATTCTTTGTAATTAACTTAATCCCTAATACTGTGATATAGGCAGCATTAACTGGGTCTGTTCCAGAGCCAAGAGATAACCAGCGTCGTCACAGTGGACCGTACTACATCAGCAGAGACGTTTTCTCATTTAACAAGCAGTAAAAGGATTTTTATGGGACCTGTGTTGTGAGTGTGTGACTTTCTTATCTTGAATGAACAACTGTAGAGCATCTAAAGCAGTTTGTTGTTATCGCACAGCACATATATGATGTGAAGAGTCTTAAGATGGAATTCAAAGAGTTTGGATCGATTATTCAATATTGGCTACTCAAAAAGGTCACAGGGCCGGGAAACTGAACCTAGTTGGTTTATTGAATCTGTGTGAAGTATTCAGAATCGGTTTTGAAGAAGCACTGCTTATATAGCGGACACAAACACAAAAGTAGCGTAACTAGTACAGAATAAGCAGCCTTTGTGGGAAATGCTTGATGACAAAAAAGCTTATAATTAAATTGTGCAAATTTAAAAAAAGCTATCATTTAAATTATGAAAACACAAAACATCAAGCTTGAATGCCCAGGTCTTGATGATGCCACTCGGCATGCAGGTTTTATATTGAGTATCACGAATGTCTGAGCCTCTACCAGTTTTGAGACTTACATTTGACTTCTTATAAAAGCACATTTTCAGTGTACCTCAGAGCTTTGCATGTAAACTAGGACAAAAGAACATGTGCATTACATACTTGGTTGTGCTATTACGTTTCATGCCACATAAGTAGACTGTCTCACGACAACCTCTATAAAAGCATGGTGGTGAGAAGACACTTGCACAATTTTACTGAAGTGAAGAGTGCAAACTGATGATATGCTTGCTCATTTATCAATATTTTTGTGCATCGATAAATACCGTAAGCTACAGGTTCCTTCACATGGCTCAAGCTCCTGGCTTCAACTATACAGACACAGATGGATGGTTAAAATCCTCTATGCCAGGGGTCACGGTTCAAGTCTGGATCTTTAGACTTGACTGACGTGGCCAATTGTGTTTGGATAGTTCAGTCTGTCTCGATCAGTTCTGCACCCTGGTCCGTCTTCAGTCTGTTCTCCAGACATTGTTCAGTAGCTTTACAACCTCCTCGTAGAGAACAAAGACAATGGCCACGTCTAGACACACTCTGCCCAGTCGTGGGACCGTGCCTTTGTAGAACCTGTGATGCAAAGTGAAAAAAGTGTAAAGGTGAGAACACGTTTACCATTGTTCAGCAAATGTTCACAGTCATTTTAATAGGAATTTGCATGATCAAGAAGTTCATGTGAGGGCGAAAAATTTTCCAACACAGATTTCGCATCAGGTTCAGTTAGTCTCAATGCATTGACCAACAGAAGGCTGCTTGGTTTGAAAGTGACTTCTGTGGGAGCTAGGGCTGCTCGATTATGGCAAAAATCATAATCACGATTATTTTGGTCAATACTGTAATCACGATCATGAGTGGGCCACAAACTTTATATGAGTGATTATTTAAAGATAGCAATATATATATCAAATATATATTTTCTGTAAATAAGGTTGCTATGACATCTACATTCTGGAGACCAGCGAAATTTCACAATTCTCAATACCACAGCAGAATACTAGGGTAACTAATATTAGTAAAAACACAAAAAAACGTCCTCAAAAATTATTGAAAATAATTAAACGGTCAGTAATAAAAATAGGAAAGGACAAATAGAAAAAAATATTTAATGAAACTGTGCAAGTCTAAAGTATTCAGCTAACAGCCTACTACAGAAATTGCATAACTGAATGTAAAATAAAACCGCATAGTCTTCACTGTAAGAATTAAACTTCCTTTGTTTTTTATTAAAGCTACAAAAGTCCTTCAGTGTAGAGCAGAGAGTGATTTTCAAATGAAGCCCACAGTCAGCAGCAGGAATATTAGGCTGCTGTCACTTTAAGAGCTGCACGGATCCAATTTACTGTTACGCACATGTTTTCATTCTCAACTGTTTACGTTCATATATTACATAACCGACGAGGGTTTACATGAATAATCACAAAGCACCGCATTTTGACATTTTTGCATGTATTTGATCGTTTAGGCACGCACCTTAAGCTAAAAGATGAATTTACATGTGCGTATTCTGTTCCGTCTCTAAGTGCATGCACAGAAAGCCTCCTGTGGAACAGCACAAGATCTTTTTTGTGCTTTTAAAAACATGAATAAATCGAATAAACTTTGATAAATCAAGCACGTCCCATTTTGCGAAAGTCACGTTGCATGATTTTACTGATTTGCCCGTGAAATTGGGCTTTTATGGAGGAGCAAAAGCGCACTGCTGGAAAGGGGGCGGAATAATCGTTTTATCTCGATTATTGTATTTTCATAATCTGTATTTCGATTAATTGCACAGCTCTATTTTGAAGAATGTGGGTAACCAGACAGTTGTTGGTCCCCATTGACTTTCATAGAATGGGAAAAAAAAAATACAACGCAAGTCAGTGGAGACCAGAAACCCATTGGTTAGAAATTAAAACAGGTATGAAATGAATTGAGGGTGAGTAAATGATGACAGAATTTTAATTTTGGGGTGAACTATCCCTTTAAGGTATAAGAAAAAAAAGGATGTTCAAAAGGAAATAATGATTTTGAAGAAAAAAACATACGCTTGAGGGCCTTCATTCTTCAAAATCTGTAATGCACAATCTAATGTGCTCTTGTAGCGATGAGCCTCCAAACCCTAAAAAAAGATAATAAAATATATCAGTGAGTGGTATTTAAAGACATTTTCTTTTAAAATAATAAATATATTCATTTTAATTAATTATTTAATAAATAATAAGCATCAGTCTCTGCTAACCTGCATTCGAGTCTTCACCACATCAAGTGGCGTGTTTCCAAAAACACTCGCCGCCCCGGCTGTTGCTCCGAACAACGCTGTAACCAGCGGGTGCATGTCACGACTGGGGTCATCGCCTGATGAAAAAGCCAAGCTGATCATTTTTGTTGAATGGCCATAGTGAAAATAATTTCAGAGTATTACTGTTAGGACAGTGATCTCATCCTCACCTTTGTACCAGTTGCGCAACAAGTTCATAACATAAAAGCGAATTGCCTGGTTGCTACCCTGCTTCAGAAGTGTAGCAGTCAGTCCTTGATACGTCCCTCGAACACCTACAAACATAGAGAAAACATATAATTATTATATTTGATATTTTGTCATTTTTTTATTTTGTGAAGTTTAGTTTTTTGTTTCATTTTTTCAATTTTTTTATTTTTATTTTAGATTTTATCAAAACTACTATTTTATATATATATATATATATATATATTTATGTTATATACTGTATATATATATATATATATATATAAACTTTTTTTAATTGTATAATTTATTTTGTGTTTCGTTTTATCATTTACTTTAAGTTTCAATTTTATTTTCTACAACCCCCATATTGATAATATTTCTATGAGTGGTCCGTCTCCTCCTACTTTACTGTCTCTATTAAGACGCAAAATTCTTTTGGATCTTCGTTTTTGTACCTTGATCTCTGATGATTTCCCTTACGCCATGGAAGAACCCTCGGTAGCGTGGCCTCAGAGAGCACTGGTCATGAATGAATTTCACCTGAAAATAATACAGACAGGAGATGTTCTGAGTAAAATATGAATAAAAATGTACATCACAGAGGACCAGTTAAGGTGGTATATTACCGTAATGTATAACCAAAACAACTGGTAACAGTCCTACCTTGACTGTCTCCATTGGACAGACTACCAACACTGCCTCTGCAATTCCTGCTCCAAGCCCACACAGCAAACTTCCTTTATTGTCAAGCCGACCTGTGGCATCCCTCATTGGGTTACTAAGAACCTCGAATGTTCCAAAACTGCCATAATGTCGAAAAGAAAAGTGTCAGCAAAAGAGACCCTATGTAAGCTTTAACACGCAAATACCAACGTTTCTTACCGTATTGCAGATTTCGGGATAGATCCATAAAGCAGTGAACTAAGCCCTCTGTATAGACCTCTCAACCCATGATCCTGCACCGTCAGCTTAACACAGTCGCCTGCACAAACAAATCCAGGTTATACTTGTTTTTGGTTTTTACACATTTCATTCATTCATATAGTTCAACCAAAAATAAAAAATTGCTGAAAAATCACTCTAAGATGTAGATGAGTTTGTTTCTTCATTGGAACAGATTTGAAGAAATTAAGCAGCACATCACTTGCTCACCAATGGAGCCTCTGCAGTGAATGGGTGCCATCAGAATAAGAGTCCAAACATCTGATAAAAACATCATAATAATCCACAAGTAATCCACATGACTCTAGTCCATCAATTAATGTCTTGTGAAGTGAAAAGCTGCGTGTTTGTGAGAAACAAATCCATCAAGGCATTTTATTTTTAAACTGTTGCTACTGGCCAAAATATCAGTCCATAATCTATAACACTTCCTCCAGTGAAAGTCCCGTTGTTCTCTCACAACAAAACCCACTAATACATTTGTTAAGAACTGTTTTCACTTGTAAACAGTGCTTGATCTGTGCATATATCTCTCCTTATTCAAACAAGACAAATTTTTCACTGGTGAAAGTGATAAGATACATAGAGGACTTGTATTTTAGCCCGAAGCAACGGTTTGAAGTTAAAAACATCTTAGTGATGGATTTGTTTTTTGTTTTTTTTACAATTCTGTTCCGACAAAGAAATAATCTCATCTACATCCTGGACAGCCTGAGGGAGAGTATATTTTCAGAAAATTTTCATTTTTGCGTGAACTATTCCTTTAACAACAGCCATCCTCACCTATGCCTCGGTACCGTGGAGGATTTGCTCTTTCATCTAACTGTAGCTGGGTCTTCACGTATTCTGTTGGAAATGTGATGCAGATCTCAATGCCTCCTGCAATGCCACCTGGGTAAAAATAATCAGTAAATAAAGTGTGTCTAATAAGTTACATTCAGTGACATCAGAGGCAATCTATGTGATTCGTTCAAACTTACAGCTGATTAACTTCCATCAAGGACAAGACAGTTTCATACAAAGTCATTTTGTTTTAGTTGTACTTGGTTGTTTAACACACAATTGTATGAACACTGCAACCAAACAAGGGTTAGAGTAACAATGTTGGAATATGATCAAATAGTTAAATTGACATTTATATTAATAAAACACGCTATTTTTAGTGTCCAACCATGTATAAACACATATCAGCTGAGTCAACACATGAGATTTCTGGAAGTTACCATTTGGTTGCATGGCTGTTGTTGTGGGCTAGCGCATTTATAGGGTATCGCGTGATCCACCAAAACATTGGCGCTTGTCTGCTTCTAACACAAACACAATACGCACTTACCTGCGAGAATAGCCTTCCACGGATGGGTAATTTTTCTCCCTCCGATTGCAGCGGCCGCTAGATTCCTCTGGCCTGGATACATGTTAGGAATTGTGGTAAAAGTGCGCGTCGAGCCCCCGCCAGCGGAGGGAATCCGGGTCAGCGCAGCAGGATGCTGTAGCGGCGTGCAACCTCGCCTCAGTATCGCATCTTTGCACGGCCCGTCCGAGACAGAAAACGGTTTATACAGAGACGACATGTCTTAATTATATTTTATGAGTAAAGTGAAAATCTGCAATGTGTGACGACGCGCAAGATGCGTCTGCCCAATAGGACGGAGACAACACAATCACAGGAAGACCACTGCGGAGGCGTGGCGGCGAGGAGCTCATGAATATTAATATAGAGGTCATGCAGCGAGCTCAATCATTGGTCTGTTTTAAAATATTTTACTCATTATGCGTTACTCATCTTATGTAATATTAATAAGGTACATTCGCCCAATTGTATTACCCTACGATCGTCCACACTATAGAGCAGTGGTGTAGTGGCATATACCCACTTCTTCATCAGTCGGCTTTGCGTATACCCACTTCTAAATCCCCTCTGATGCGCATCATTCATTAGTGTCCTGCATTAGGCAAAATCATGACAGTCCACCACATGAATAGCTAATCTAATCGCATGTAAAAAAATAAATAAATAAAAAATATTCCCTAAAAACTCCCAGTAAAGACAGTGATGCGGCCAAGACCGTGGCGCCGGCTTCCTTTGAAATATGTTTGATGATTGCGCCTGCGCTCTCGCCCGCTCCGTCAGTCAGAGAGGATGCCGATTGCCGACAGGGACAGAGATGCTGCTTCTTCATGCGCGAGCTCGTGGCAGGGGATGCGCGCAGAGTGGTAAAATAATAGTTAATTATTGATTACTAATTTGAATCAGTACATTACAACGAAAACAATAGCTTAAAAACCGGTAAACTCCTGTAAACTTTTCAGTCCAAGGATCCAGAGTAAACAAATGCATTCAAACAGTAAGTTCGAAACAGCTCAAATACAGAGAAAACGTCTCGGTTACGTATGGTAACCCTCGTTCCCTGAAGGAGGGAACGGAGAC